AAAAAAAAAAAAAAAAAAAAAACTCCCGGACTCACACGACAACTCACACGGGTCGTGTGACGTCACACGACTCGTGTCACGAGACACACAACTCGTGTGAAAAATTCGTAGCTGAAATTTCATTAAAATGTGGCCACACGACTCGTGTCATCGACTCACACGAGTCGTACACGAGTCGTGTGACCCAACTGCAGCTCGATTTTGTCATTTTTCGTCCTTTTACACTTTTCTATGTAAATTTCAAACAACCAACTACACCAACATTACACGAGCAAATCAACTAATGTACCATAAGTACCATCAAACCAAGTCCAAATAAATCATACAAACATAACAAAATAAATAATCCAGCGAAATCCAAAAGAACAATCCAAACAAATCCAAATAAACACTAAAAAATCTAATCTCCCCACACATCACGAAGTCTAGACCTATCACTGCGAGGATGCAAGGACGGACACTCATCCACAACATGCTCTGGATCACCGCATCTAGTACAATGCCCCCTCTCATTTCTGCGTCGTGCCCGACGATCCATTTGCATGCGGTAGCATCTCGTTTGCTTGCGACCGGGTCCAGGCTTCAAGATGATCCTATCCCAGTGTGGAATCAAATTCCATCCCACCGGCGGCCATGTATCCGGATTACCAATCGGAGTAAAACTCCAATTAGTAAATTGAGCTAACCAGGTCGACGTCCAGAAGTGATCATCATACAACAGCTTTGGGTCACCCTCAATTCTACGACAGACGGCTATTGCATGAGAACACGGTTTTCTATGCGTCTGCCACTTCAGACAACTGCAACGTTGTCCGGGGTAATCAACTTTATACCTGTATTTCAACATTGATTTATATAATACAAAAAAAATGAATAAACAAAATAAAAAAACAAAACATATACTTACTTGTTTTAACCTCTTCCACTAGCGCGTAGACCGGTTGTCACCGCGTACATCGATCTGGCGTAGTCCGTACATTCCACCTCGTGAGTTGCAGCAGTTTGCTCCAACTGCAAAAATGCGACATAGTGCAAATGAGTAATGGGACTCCTGCATCTACTGGCTTTGTTTTGTTCTTGTCGAAACAAATCCAGAGTTTTTTGAAATGTGGCCTCTACCAAAGCTCTGCACGGCAGGAACCTAACCCCTTTCAGGACATTGTTGTAACTCTCCGACATATTCGTTGTCAAAGTGCCCCATCTACGTTTTTCATCTCGATACAGGGTCCACAGGTTCAAAGGAATGTTGAAAAGATAATTGTATGCGTCGGGATTAAGTTCTTGAAGTCGTTGTTTTGTCTGTCGAAACTTTTCTTCGACAACTGCGAACCCAACTCCCAACACCAATCCCGGATTTTCTTACTCCTGAACCGAGTCACCACATTGCTTCGAAGGTGTCGAAGGCAAATCCGGTGATACGCAGCGGGTTCTTGCCAATCCGGTAATGAAATGATTCAATCGCACTGAGTAGACCCACATCCCTGTCAGAAAGAACGCATATCTGTCTGTCGAATACAACATATCGCCGCAGATTCCTAAGGAAAAATGACCAACTGCCTGTGCTTTCTTCGTCGACAAGCGCATACGCGATTGGCAATAGCCGCTTATTCGCAGTCTGTGCTACGGCTACGAGCAATTTTCCTTTGTAATGTCCACGTAAATGTGTGCCATCAATGCTAATAACCGGCGGGCACATTTCGAAGGTTCGAATCGCGGGACCAAATGCCCAAAACACATATTTAAATTCTCTGTCTGGAACGTGTCGGGCCACATCACCACCCTGAAATTCCCAATCTACAGCTGTGTTGGGATTCGCTCTTTGAAGCGCGGCAAAATATCTGTACAATACAAAACAATTTTATAAATAAATAAATATACTGACAGACAAAAAACACGTATATTTGTAATTAATTTTTGCTTACTGAGGGAGTTCTGCGAAGTTCGACCCCCAATCGCCGTACACACACTCGATTGCTTTTTTTCTGCCGTGCCATGCCTTCTTGTAACTGACGTCGACTTTCCAACACTGCTTCACATCAGCCTGGACCATGTTAACGTTGTACTCCACTTTCTTCTGAATTTTATTCATTATAAGATTCGCAATCATATGGGCAGTCACGTTTTTGTGGTCATTTCTGTCGACCTGTTGCATGCAAGTGTGTTGGTCAGTCGATTCAGTTACTTCCCACAAATCATCATGCCGTCTGGACTTATTCACCCGAGCCTTCAACAGACAAGGCACATCTGCATCTGCATTCGATTTGCAGACCAGTTTGAATGTCTTCTGATTTGAATCTTTTGACCGAACCTGCCGCAACCTATCGACGTTCCAGGCCATTAGACCCGTTTGGGCTTCTTGCTTGCTCCGGAAAACTGTACCCAAACGTATGGTCTCAATGTCGCCATTCCACCGTGGAATAGCATACTCGT